GAGTCTTGCTCTGTCACCCAGGCTGGAGTACAGTGGCGCGATCTCGGCTCACTGAAAGCTCCACTTCCCAGGTTCACACCATTCTCCTGCCTCAGCCTCCCCAGTAGCTGGGACTACAGGCGCCCGCCACCTCGCCCGGCTAATTTATTTGTATTTTCAGTAGAGATGGGGTTTCACCATGTTGGCCAGGCTGCTCTCAAACTCCTGACCTCAAGTGATCCACCTGCCTCGGCCTCCCAGGGTGCTGGGATTATAGACTGTGAGCCACTGCACACAACCTACTTACTTGTTTGATCTACCCCCTCTGTGTACCCAGTGTTCCACTGCCACTCCCTTCCACACACAGAACCCTCTTCACTCCATCCTGGGCCTAATGCCCCCTGCCGGGATGCCCCAAATCATGTGCATGGCCTATTCGCTCTACTCAAGCTCTGATGCCTCACACAAACCTTCACCAATTTGGATGCCTCTTTGCCCTGGTGAGGTCCCAGTGGCTCACATCAGGCTGTCCCGCCTTGGGCTCGGTCTCTGACACTTCAAAACAACCCAACCCCATGTGTGGATTCCGTCCTCTCTCCACACAGGTTCTGACCTCTCACGCCAGGCCTTCCCCTGTGTGGACACTCTTCAGCCTGCTTAGACTCCCAACACCTCACACCAGGTCACCCCTCCACACAGATACTTGTCTTGCTCTGTCCCACTTAATGGTTTTAAGACTGGTTTAGGGAAGGGGATGAACATGAGGAAGAGGGACCAGGCTCTATTCTTTTCTTTTTTGAGATGGAGTCTCGCTGTGTCACCCAGGCTGGAGTGCAATGGCACAATCTCGGCTCACCGCAACCGCTGCCTCCCCGGATCAAGTGATTCTCCTGCTTCAGCCTCCCTAGCAGCTGGGATTACAGGTGCCTACCACCACGCCCAGCTAATGTTTCTATTTTTAGTAGAGGCAGGGTTTCACCATGTTGGTCAGGCTGGTCTCGAACTCCTGACCTCAGGTGATCCAACCACTCCCCTCGGCCTCCCAAAGTGCTGGGATTACAGGCGTGAGCCACTGCCCCTAACCTCTACTCTTATTTTTTTTGAGACAGAGTATTGCTCCGTCCCCCAGGCTGAAGTGCAGTAGTATGATCTCGACTCACTGCAACCTCCGCCTCCCAGGTTCAAAAGAATCTCCTGCTTCATCCTCCCAAGTAGCTGGGACTACAGGTGTGTGTCACCATGCTCACTAATTTTTGTATTTTTTTTTTTTTTCTAGAGACAGGGTTTTGCAGTGTTGTCCAGGTTGGTCTTGAACTCCTGGGCTCAAGTGACCCACCCACCTCGGCCTCTCAAAGTGCTGGGATTACAATCAGGAGCCACTGCACACAACCAGGCTCTACTCTTTATTGTTTCAAAGAACTTATCACTTTATATGAGTCTGCTAGGACTGTCATATCAGGCAGGTGGGGCCTTTGGGAGGCAATTAGGTCATGAGGGTGGAGCCCTTATAAATGGGATTAGTGCCCTTATTAAGGGACTGCACCTAGCATGGTGGTTTTCGCCTGTAATCCCAGCACTTTGGGGGCCGAGACAGGTGATCTTTGAGGTCAGGAATTAGAGCCCAGCCTGGTCAACTTGGCGAAACCCCATCTCTACTAAAAACACAAAAATTAGCCAGGCGTGTTGATGCGTACCTGTAATCTCAGCTATTCGGGAGGCTGAGGCAGAAGAACTGCCTGAACTCAGGAGGCGGAGGTTGCAGTGAGCTGAGATCTCGCCACCGCACTACAGCCTGCGTGACAGAGTGAGACCCTGTCCCAAAAAAAAAAAAAAAAAGGCAATGCAATGCAGACAACTTGCTTGTCCCTCCCACCACGCAGGAACACAGCAAGAAGATTCCATTTGTGAACAAGAATGTGCACCCTCACCAGACACCCAATCTACAGGTGACTTGATCTTGGACTTCCCAGCCTCCAGAACTGTGAGACATCAGTTCCTGTTGTTTACAAGCCACCCAGTCTGTTTCATTACAACAGCCCAAATGGACTAAGGCTTCAAACACGGGAATGTGGGGGGACATGATTCGTCTATAGCAGCTTCCCACCAGGCTTTCCAAACTGCGTGTTTCCTGTTTATCATATACCCTCCCACCCTCTGCATGTCAGCTTCTCACTGCAGGGATCGCGTCTCTGTGGCATCCCAGGTTCCTGGAGGGACAGCTGGAGGCCCTTGTACCCATGTGCAGAGGAAACGCTTGCGTCTGAAGAAGCTCCCGTGGGGAGCCTCACTCCCACTCTCCCCACTCCTCAGACCTTGGGCATGGAAAGTCGGAATCCCTGGGACCAGGTACAAACAGTTTATTTTTCTATGAAGAGCAAAGTACAAAGAGGCAGGGAGGGGAGCTGGGCACAGGGGAGCAGCCGTGGGCAGGTCCCAAGGCCCTGGCTGTGGTGAGGACATGCTGGCAGCTGCCCCAGGAGTAAATGGGTCTCCAGTGCGCAGTGGAGAAGGAGCAGGAGCGGCGAGGAGGAAGCCCACGCCTGCTGCTGGGAGTCACACAAAGCCAGGCTTCATGGATGAGCGGCGGCAGTTGGGACAGCTCCGGGTCCCGTTGTTTTGCAGGCACCTGGGGAGGCAAAGGGCCCTGTCCACCCCCGAGGCCTGTCCTTCCCTCCGGGCCCTGGGCCCTCTCTTCCTTGCCTGCCCTCTGCAGGGGCTGGGACACATCCTGGTGGCTGTTCAGCAGCAGTGGAAGGGAAGGGAATGGGGCAGGCTCCCACCGCACCCTGCGTGCCCCTCTCCTCCTCTGCCCCAGGGACCTCCAGGGCAGAGCATGGGCTGGGAGTTCAGAGGATGGGACGGAGCCATACCCAGGGCAGGTCTGGCCTGGATGTCTGACCTAATGACCTTTGAGGGGCCTCTCTGACTTCTCTTTGGGGATTATGATAAGAATGGCCACAGATCTCAGCTCACTGCAGCCTCTGCCTCCCGGGTTCAAGTGATTCTCCTGCCTCAGCCTCCTGAGTAGCTGGGATTACAGGCTCCCACCACCATGCCTGGGTAATTTTTGTATTTTTAGTAGAGACGGGGTTTCACCATGTTGGCCAGGATGATCTTGAACTCCTGGGCTCAAGTGATCTGCCCACCTTGGCCTCCCAAAGTGTTGGCAAGACAGAGGTGAGCCAAAACGCCTGGCCAAGGTTAAGTGTTTGCTATTGGCCAGGCGCGGTGGCTCAAACCTGTAATCCCAGCACTTTGGGAGGCCAAGACGGGCAGATCACGAGGTCAGGAGATCGAGACCATCCTGGCTAACACGGTGAAACCCCGTCTCTACTAAAAATATACAAAAAACTAGCTGGGCGAGGTGGCGGGTGCCTGTAGTCCCAGCTACTCGGGAGGCTGAGGCAGGAGAATGGCGTAAACCCGGGAGGCGGAGCTTGCAGTGAGCTGAGATCCGGCCACTGCACGCCAGCCTGAGCGACAGAGCGTGACTCCGTCTCAAAATAAAAAAAAAGTGTTTGCTATTAGTATTATTGCTGTGATTAGGCCAGCTGGGCCCTAGAGTGCCCCGCAGAGACCCTGCCCACCCCTGTCCACCCCCCGCAGGAGTCCCCACCTGAGGTGGAAGATGTGGGAGCAGGGCAGGGCCTGCAGCCGGCTGTTCTTCTCGCCTATGGACTCGCCACACAGGCCGCAGTAGAGCTCCGTCTCCTCCACACACTCGTGGAACCTCACGACATGCGCCCGCAGTTCCCGCTGCAGCCCTTTGCTGCGGTAAATGCTCTCGCTCAGACAGTGCAGCTTGAGCTGGCTCAGCTGGGGCCCGCGGGAGTGGAGAGTGGCAGTGGGGGATGAGAGCAAAGTCAGTGCAGGCAGGCTCCAGTCTCAGCCACTTCCCTGTCTTCCTGATGGACCTCGGGAAAACGTCCTGCCCTCTCTGGGACCTTGCTTCCTTTCATGCAGAATGAGGGGGTGGGGGAGATCAGAGGTCTTCACCCCCCAGAACTGCCTGGAGACCCCATGTTTTTGAAAGATTTTATGACCAAACCTGGCGCACAGACTCCGTAATACTTTGCGGCAGGGCGCCGTGGCTCATGCCTGTAATCCCAGTGCTTTGGGAGGCCGAGGCAGGTGGATCACCTGAGGCCAGGAGTTCAACACCAGCCTAGCCAACACGGTGAATTCCCATCTCTACTTAAAAATACAAAAATTAGCTGGGTGTGGTGGCGGGTGCCTATAATCCCAGCTACTCAGGAGGCTGAGGCAGGAGAATCACTTGAACCTGGGAGGCAGATGTTGCAGTAAGCTGGGATCGTGCTATTGCACTCCAACCTGAGACAAGAGTGAAACTCCATCTCAAAAACAATTTTTTTTTTTTTTGAGAGTGGGTCTCACTATGTGGCCCAGGCTGCTCTCAAACTTCTGGGCTCAAGTGATCCTCCCACCTCGGCCTCCCAAAATGCTAGGATTATAGATGTTAGCCACCGTGTCCAGTCCACTGTTAGGAGTTTTAATCAACAGCAGGAAGCTTCTGAGGAATTTTGCTATGCTCCAAGCTATGAAACTCCTGCCCTGCCCTCAGGAGTGCTCTCTGTGTGGCAGAGAGAGAGCCAGGGTATGGGGTTGGCTGCAGGCAGCTCCCAGGATCAGGAAGTGCTCATGATGGGAACAGGCTCAGGAAGGCCTTTCCCCAGACCCAAGTCCCCCACTTGGGCCCCTGACCCCAGACCCAGGACACAGAATCAAGTCTGACCTTGTTCCCCACCTCCTCAGCCAGATCCTGGGCTCTCTCGATGACGTCCAGAGCCTGGAAGGTGAGCACAGGCCAGGGCTGCGGGCAGAGCTGTCTGACAGGCCTTGCTCACAGGGAAGCATGGGGTGGGGGGCAGGCCTGGGGAGGGTGACATGGCAGCTGCCCTGTGTGTGAAGGCAGCAGGAAGGGCCTAGGGCATAGTCATAGGGGCTGTGTGGGCAAGTGACCTCCTGCCTCAGTTTACCCAGCAGCCTGGGTTCCAACCCCAGCTCCAGGCCTTTACTAGCTGTGGGCCCCAGGGCAAGCGATGGGCCTTCTCTGAGCCCAGAAAATGACCAGGAATGTCCTGGCCTCGTAGGATCAGAGTGAGGCTGACGTCAGACGAAGTGGCTGAAAGAGCCAGTCGACCTACTGGCCCCAAGTAGGGAGCGCTGGGAGGGCTGAAGGGTATGGGAAAGGCCTGACCTCACCTTGTCCAGCGCCTTTCTGGCTACCCAGCACTTGGCCACACCCAGCAGCGCCTGCACTTGCCCCAGGCGGTTTCCGATCTCGGTCATGATGCTCATGGCAGAGTCATACCTGGGGAAGGCTGTCTGCAGAGCCAGGTGGGGGATGGAATCAGACGGCATCAGGCCTGTGCCCCAGTCCCCCGCCCCCAGCCCCTGCATCCCGGTGACCTCACCTCCAGGTCCCCACGGCTCCGGTGGATGTCAGCGAAGCAAAGTAGGCAGAGCGCCTGCAGCGGCCGGTCCCCATGCTGCAGTGCGATCTTCATAGACTCCTGTGAGGGAGGCCAGTGGCTCAGGCCTGCTCCTCTGCCACCGCCACTGGAGTGCCCTCCCCTCAACGGGCCCCTCTGAAGGGACAGCCCAGGGAAGCAACATCCTCAGAGCCTAGCGAATCTATCATGGTGCTGAGGCCTCACGCGCCGAACCACTGAAGTCACAGCACCCAGCAAGGTGGGTGGAAAGTGAGGCTCATAGAGAAGTGACTTGATTGGGGTCACCCGGTAAGTGACAAAGCTGGGATGTGAACCCAGGTCAGTGGGACTCCAGAAACTGGCCCTGTACCATCTCTACCCTTCAAAGTACCCCATATAGGGTGTTGGGGACAGAAGGACGCCCCCTCCCCTGCAGATGGATTGGAAGGGAGTGGGGTTTGGGATGAGGCTAGGGGACAAATGTTTCCTTCAGGGGCTCAGCTGTAGAGAGGGTGGGCCAGGGGCAAGCCCTGGGGGGCCTCTGGGGGCTGGTTTGGAAGAAGGAGGCCCTGCTGTCCCAGGCCCCAGTCCCTGGCCCACACCACCTCATCACCCACCTGCCCCCTTCCCCGCTGCCCCACCTCGCAACACTCCATGGCACTGCCCAGGTGGCCCAGCAGGCGATAGGCCACGGCCATGTGGTACTGGCTCATGGCCCGGTACTTCAGGCTCCAGCCTTTGCCATAGTCGTTGACGAGCTCTGCGGCTTTGCAGGGGAAGAACAGGGCTTTCTCATAGTCCTGCAGGGGATGTGGGATGGAAGGAGGCAAACTGAGTGGCAGAGGCTGCCCCAAGTCGAGGGCTCCTGGGCCAGGCTTCTTTAACAGCAGGTAGGGGCGGGGGGCCCAAGTGTCTACTCATTCATTGTGGCATCCAGGACAAGAGTGGCCCAGGTAGAGGGAACAGCCAGTGCAAAGGTGTGGGCTCCGTGGACTCAGGGATTCTCATCTGGTCTGTGATGCATCCCAAGAGCCTAGCACAGTTCTTGGTACTTGGTGGATACACAATAAATATTTGCTGAGTGAATGAATAAAAAGACAAGAAAATACAGTTGGCTTCTCTTTTCTCCCAATGCCAAACGGACTCCTCAGCTTCAGAGATGCACAGGGACGGGAGATACCAGGTCCCTCCACTAGAGCTTGCCTGCTGGCACCCAGAAGCAGGTGTTCACTGAAGCTCAGTGGCAGACTGGCAGCACAACAGGCTCAAAGAACATCAGACAGATTCAGCGAGGTGACGCAACCATTGGCTTGTACTTTCTCCTCAAGCATCGAAATGCCTTTTCTACCTGCCCACGGTCAGCTGATGACCTGGCCTCACTGCTCCAAGAGGAAAAGGAAGAAAATCAGGGAGAAGCTCCTTCCCCTCCTGTCTCCACCAGATCTCCCACCTCCGCACCTCTGCTCCCACGCTCCCTGCTTCCTTTCCTGTCACTGTGGAGGACGGCTCCTGTTCCCATCAAATGCCAGCCCCCGATGAGCAGTCTCTGCATCGTCAGGTTCTCTCTTTCTACAGAATCTTTCCCATCCACGTGCAAACATGTCTGGCATTTCTCATCTCGTTTAAAAAATAAAAACTGGGCCAGGCACAGTGGCTCAGGCCTGGAATCCCAGCACTTTGGGAGGTCAAGATACGAGGATCTCTTGTGCACAGGAGTTTGAGAATGGCCTGGGCAACTTAACAAGACCCCGTCTCTACAAAAATAAAATCAGCTGTGCATGGTGGTGCATCCCTGTAGTCCCGGCTACTCAAGAGGCTGAGGTGGAAGGATCACTTGAGCACAGGAGGTCAAGGCTACAGTGAGTTGAGATTGCACCACTGTACTCCAGCCTGGGTGACAGAGGTAGACTCTGTCTCACAAAAGAAAAAAAAAAAAGAAGGAAAGAAAAAAGAAAACTAACCCACCTTCTCTTGACCTCATTTCCCTTCAGCTAAAGCTCCATTTCACTGTTCTTTTTCAAGGTAAATCGATTTGATCTTTCACTTAATATTTAACAAGCAGCTCCAAGTTAACACGACCAAAAGAGAAGTGTCAATAACCCCAATAAAAACCTTTTCCTAATACGCCTTATTACGTACTTTTAAATTTGAAGCCATATAAATGTTTTACAGGTTAAAAAAATTAAATTGAATTTGAAAAATATCTAAAAATAGAAAATGGAGGTCAGGTGCAATGGCTTATGTCTGTAATCCCAGCACTCGGGGAAGCTGAATTGGGAGAACAGCTTGAGGCCAGGAGTTCAAGATCAGCCTGGGCAACATCGCAAGACCATTATCTCTACAAAAAATTTAAAAATTAGCCAGATGTGGAAGAATGTGCCTGTAGTCCCAGCTACTCAGGAGGTTGAGGAGGGAGGATCGCTTGAACACAGGATTTTAGGTTACAGTGAACCGTGATTGAGCCACTGCACTCCAGCCTGGGTGACAGAGGAAGACCCTGTCTCAAAAAAAAAAAAAAAACAAAAAACAAAAAACAACTAAGGCTGGGCGCGGTGGCTCACGCCTGTAATTCTAGTACTTTGGGAGGCCGAGGTGGGCGGATCACAAGGTCAGGAGATTGAGACCATCCTGGTTGACATGGTGAAACCCTGTTTCTATTAAAATACAAAAAAATTAGCCAGGTGTGGTGGCACGTGCCTGTAGTCCCAGCTACTTGGGAGGCTGAGGCAGGAGAATCACTTGAACCTGGGAGACAGAGGTTGCAGTGAGCCGAGATCACACCACTGTACTCCAGCCTGCAACAGAGTGAGACTCTGTCTCAAAAAAAAAAGTAAATAAATGTCCCTAACCGTGTGTCTTATTACTACGACAACACACACAAAATAATTATTTTGGCCGGGTGCGGTGGCTCACGCCTGTAATCCCGGCACTTTGGGAGGATGAGGCGGGCGGATCACGAGGTCAGGA